TTGGGAAGAAGGTATATTATTAAATTAAATATGCTTTAACAGTTTTACCTCTATATTGAAAAATTTGTATATTATTAAATTTAATTTTATCCTTGATATTCTTTAAATTTGTGATCATTTTAAAAAAGTATTGCATAAAAGATTAGGGAGATTTCCCAAAATAGGATTAAATGAAGGTTGGAATTTCAAAATATGTCTACTATTTGTTATTACCGAAATAAGACTAACATGTCAATATTTATTGTCATTTTGTAGGTGTGACTGTCAAATAGTTGCAGTACAATGCATTTAACAACACAATATTTATTATAATTAATGACAGTATTTTTCAATCATGGTAGTATTTTTTATACATGAGAGTAACAAATCTTATTTCGGGAAGAAAAACATAATAGTCCTATTTTGAAATTTTAAACATCAATTACTTCTATTTATAGCAATTTCCCAAAAGTTTAATAGTGTGCCTTTCAAAAAAAAAAGATTAAGAGTGTGCATAGGGTAATAAACTTCAAATGCAAGGATATTTCGGAAAGTTTCACCTTTTTTTTGTCTTACCACCGAATATCCCTTCGTAATATTCCCATGATCCTCTAATCGAATTGAATAATAATATGTAATACAGAGTAATATATTTAAATGTACCCCGAATAGTATAATATAGTATAATAATATATTTAAAGCTCGCCGCAACTATCTTATTCAACCTATATCAATGAATTCGTAATTGTGTTTACGACTATTAGAGTATCAATGCCATTTTTCAATTTTCTGTTTGACATTTCATTTTTAGAGCACGTTTGGTGACCTTTTATCAGTCATCTTTTTCACCAAGCACGTAACTTTTGATTTTGCGTCCTGAATTGTGTAATAATACAAAAAGGTAAGGTGAAAGTTACTTTTTTGGTTGTTTTGGCTGAAGTTATTGTAAAGGGTTATTTTAACTATTTTTCATGTGATTTTTTCATTATTTTATTAGTAAAATATATTATAAATATAATTTTTTCATAAATAAGCAGAATCAACCAATATAGTCAATGCAACCAGAACTTCATAAAATTCAGCAGAATCAGTCGATTCAGCCGATTCCAGTGTTACCAAACATACTCTTAAAGTGCCACAGAATAATCATATCCGATCCATACATGATAATTGTGTTTGTAATTTTCTGAAATATGAAAAACATAATGTAATATTTAAAATTATAAATACTCATTTTTAATAGGAGTACATTACTTTCATTTATCAAACATTCATATGACATTGATGTCATAATTGTAATGTTTCCCAACATGGAAGTAAATACGCATATGGAGTATTTAAAGAAAATAATAATAATTTTGATTTGAAATATAACAATACTTTCGCTCTTGGCATATTTTTATTTACTCCGTATCATACTAGGCTAGATCAGAACAAATAATTTGAATCGAAGACATCCTAATTTAGAACATTTTTTTATTTAATTTAATATGTTACCAAGAAAATTGCAAGTAACAATTTTGAGTATTCAAATGTTAAGAGTTTTTTTACATACTACTAAAATAAAATTTATTTATAAAAATGTGACTTAAAATGTTACTAAAATTTATTTAAGTGAAATGTGAATTACTACAACTTTTGTTCCATATTAGTTGTCTGGTTTCAATTTGGCACAATTATTATAAAGTGGTTGATAAAATAAAAGTTGTCATTGAGATTTGAGTATTGTAAAGTAAAATAACATTAATCATATACTTCTTGAAAGAAAAACAAGATATTTATTTTGGAACAATCCAAAAATGAAAGTAAGATAACTAAAATGAGACGAAAAGTGCAATATGTAATCACATTTTTGTAAACAAATATTCCCTCCGTCCCTAATAACTTTGTCAAGCTTGATTGACACGTGAATTAATAAAGTAAAAATTGTGTGGTTGAGTTTTGTGAAAGGGAAAAAGAATTAACTACAACCACAAATTCTTTAATTAAAAAAAATGACAAAATTAATGGGACATTCAAAAGAAAAGTCGACAAAGTGAGACAAATGAAGTGTCCTTTTAGTTACGGAGTATAATTATTTCAAAATTTGTTCTATATGAGAGAGAACGCTAAAATCAATGTCAAACGAATCTAAACAAAACGTGACAGTTACCTAGTTTTACCATTCCTCCTCGGAACAAAAAAAATCCGTATAAGTAGCGGAAGTCGTTGGACACAAGTGGCGCCCACAGTCGTGAGAACCCAAATGAGCACACAACTTTTGACGGACGAAAATGAGTATCGAAACCCTACAGAGCCTCGTTGCTTAGCATAAATAAGGAAGAAAAACTGTAAATCTCTCCAAAGTCTCCACCAAATAAAAAGTTTGAGATAAAAAAAACACCTCCCCGGCGCGTTAATGGCGGGTCTACAATACAATTTCTTCCCAACCGATTTCTTCTTCCCTCCACAGAAACCAGCCGTAGCGGGCAAAGACATCGTACCACAGCAGCTGTCGCTGATGAAAGCGAAGAAGATCGGCGAAGAAATTGACGAGTCAAACCAGCCGCCGAATCACGCCATAGCCGTCAAAGCACCTCCCGCTCCCTCTTCGTCTCTCACCTTCAAGCCGCCTCAGCAGAAACGCAGATTCTAGGCGTAATCAATGAGCGGAATTGATGTCAAGGAGATTTTGGCTATCAGATCGTCTCTTCCCCTCTCTATGCTGTAATATAATTTGCTTCTGTATTTAGGCCTTGTTTGGTTAATTTTGTTTAGCTTTTCAAGCAGAGCTTGAAAGGAATGCATAGTTTGCTAAGTATTACAGTCGTCGATCGTGTTAAGTTGTTGCCCAGGTTGGTACTGTATTGCCGTGGCTTTTAAACAGTAAAGCATGCAATTGATGTTTCAAAGTGGTCTAATAGCTGATACGATTAGCCCTAGTTGAAGGGAACTGTAATTGCCATAGATTCTTCAATGGTTTAGTATAGTTTGGTCTATTTGTCGAATCGAGTGATCTCACCATAAAAAATTCATTGCGTGCATCTACTTTCCTTCTCATGTTATCAACCAAAATTAGTTAATTCAACTCCACGCTTTGCTTTCTGGCTTTGCTTTCCCCTGCTATGGAAGCCACGCTGGTTTGTTTTACTAGTGGCTACCATAGGTCCATAGCTTAAATTGCATCCGCCTGCCATAGAAGAAGGCCGAAACAGGAGTATGTGATGTGAAATTGTGAATTAGTTTTGCATTTGCATGAATAAAAAATAAAGAAAAAAAAAATAATTATGACTAAAATAAAAATTGTTTGTAAAATGTGACTAGTTACTAGAGTACTAATGAAAATCGTAATAACTAATGTTTAATTTTTAAACTTAAATTAACACGACACTAATTATAATAACCATTAGTCATATTTACGTAAACAAATTTTATTTTAGTAATATTTTTGAAAAATCTCTAAACAAAATGCTGCCTGATAGATATCTCTCCAAAAATTGTGTCTTGATATAGTAAACTTTTGTTTGGTTGTATGAGCCAATCTGGTCTAAAATAATAAATGGTTGATCTCTATATAATTTATAATTGTCGTGATCTTATCTAAATCTTGTTCGTGAATATAGAAAAAAACAGAATTGTTGTGACATGTGAATATTCGATGCATCGTGGGTGCTGTTTTAGCAAGAAATTAACAATTTCCTCTAACAATCAAATAAAGAATTGGGGATTCGCACAAGAAGTAATCAAGAAAAATAAACGAATGAAATACTGAATTGGAAGTTGGAAGAATGAGAATTTAACGAAGCTTTGTTCTTAGCAAAAGCAATTAGTGTGATCTAGTTCGAATGAATGTATGTTTACAAACTGTTCTTCTTAAATAAGCTTTCTCGAGCCTCTTCCTCATCAACTGCCCACCGAAATAGGCGGCACTGCATTTGAACGTGTCAAGCCATTTCTTTTGCTCCAAGTCTGATTCAATCTTATCCTGGCCGAACTGGACTTCGTCTATACTTCTTGGAAAATGGGCCGCATGCCTTAATTCATAAATCCACCGCTGGGCCTCTTCATTTGACGGAAATTTCCTGGCCCAACAATTGCCCCCAATTCGATGGAGTAATTGGCGCTGAGAGAAACGAACCGTCTGCCCAATTTCTACTTCGAATTTGAAACCAAACCGTCTTGGAAGTTGTGTAGCCGACTACTTTCTCATTCTCGTAATTGTCTCCACCGAATCACTCGCCGTACTCTTCTTCCCTCTTCGAAACCCTTTTCTCTTCTTTCTTCTGCAACCACCCCGTCAGCTCCCATGGCATCCCCAGGCTTCGTTCCACAATACATCCTCGAACCCAAAAGTGCTAAACAAGCAAAACTTACTGAGGAACAAGTAGAACTTATTCAGACTTCTGCCGGTTTTCCCCCTACTGCGGCTATCCGTTTTCCGGCGGCGAATGAGCGTATGGACTGGTTTTGCCCTGGTTGGGTGAATTTCCTGTACTACCCCTTCAAGATTGGGATGAGATTTCCCTTCTCTCCCCTGACTCGGGGCTTCTTGGAGTTTGTGAACCTATCGCCTTCTCAGATTATGCCTCAGGTGTGGAGGATTCTTCGTGCACTGGAGGTTGTGAGCGAAAAGTACGGTATTCCCTTCGAGTTCGAGGACTTGGGCTTCACCTATGAACTCCGAACCTCCGGACCTGGTAGATTTACACTGGCTTTGAGAGATAGGAGGCCAAGACTCATCCACAAGGTTGACAAGGCAAATGATAGAGGTTGGATGCATGGGTACTTCTTCGTCCTCAAGGATTCGCTCGGTATTGAGGGGTCCTTCCTTGAAGATAATCTGCACAAAGGTAAAACATCTTCTCCCAACGGCACTCTGTTGTTTCTTCAATTCAGTACGTCCATACATATGTATACATGCCTTTTCTTCTTTTTTTTTTTTTTATTTATGTGTTAAGAGCCTCCATCACAGTTGCTTAACCAATTGCAAACCTTGATTCTTCAGAGAAGAAGACAATAGCTATCCCCTTCGGACCGAAATCAGAGGAGAGAACAGTGCGAATTCAGGCTATTCCTGTAGAGGACCGCTGGTTTGCGAACCTGGTTGCTGAATCTCCAGGTATGCCTCCCACTTTAACTCCTGATAGACCCGTCGGATTAAGGCGTTCTGGTCGCAATATGAAGGCTTCTCCTAACCTGATTCGAGGTTCATCTGTAGTCTCCATTGAGGATTCAGACCAGGAATCGGAAACTTCGAAGGCGGGTGCAGGAGATAACGCAGACGTCTTCACCCCTATGCAGGTCGTCTTCCCGGTGGGTGAAGCTTCTCTGCCGGCCCCTAACAAGTGCCCACCCGTGTCTACTGGTAAATATCGAAATCTCTTCTGATTAAAACTGCCCCAATGTAATGTGATTGCTTTTCCTGACTCCATCTTCTGGTTGTTGCTTTGCTGCAGCGGCGACGTCTTCTTCCAGCTCCCGTTTGGCTCCATCTGCTCACGAATTGCTTGCTCTGGCCTCCAAGAAGAAAAGAGCCTCTCCCAGATTGGCTTCCACTCCTCAAAAGCTCCCCAAGTTGTCCGTCGTGATCGAAACCAAACCAAACTTACCTCGTCCCTATGAGGTCAAAACTGTTCCGGCCCTCAAGCCACTGGATGTGAAGATGTCACTTTCCCCTGACTTTTGCAGTCTACGAGACGTATCCCTGATGAGAGGAGAAGTACACAAGCTCATGCTTCCTTCCTCTCCAGATGTTTTCAAAGGCTTGCCCCCAGCTGGATTACTGTCTGCATCCTCGGCCTATGCTTTTCAGGTAAACCTAGCTTTTCTTAGTTCCTATTTTGTAAGCAGTCTCCTGATGTGATGGTGTGATCTTGTCAGAGCTTGCAAGCTGGGTTGGTTGCTGCCGAGAAAGTGGCTTTGCTGGAGAAAGCTCTTGACGAGTCTAAGCGTAATGAATCACTCTCTCGCACTCTTGCGGAAGACAGTGCCAAGTTAGCTCAGGATTTGCAAAAGGAAGTGACAGCTCAATCTGCTCAAATCTCAAGGCTTGTCGACAGGATTAAAGTGCTGGAAGCTTATGGTCGGAGAAAGAAGCAGGAAGTCACCGACGCAGCTTGCTACTACGTCTGGCAAACGAGGGGAGAACTTATGGCTTCCTTTCTTGCGGGTGAGTCGTCTGGCTGGAATGCTGAGGAGGATATTGCAACTTGGAAAAAGGTTCAAGAGGACATGGATCCTCCCATTGCTGACGACGGCTTCGACGTAGGACAGTCTGATGGCGAGGCTGACTCCCAACATGCTTAGGTTGCTCTGTACCTTCTAATACTTTTGCTAAAACATTTCTGATCTTGCTCCCGGTGTCCTGGTGGTTTATCCAGGACGGGATGTACTTTTGACTCTTTAAGCCTGTGCACTTGGTGGTTTATCCAAGGCTTGACTTTCATTTTGCTATGCTTGGTGTGAAAAACTTTGATGTGCCTGTTTTTGTATCCTGTGTGTGTGCACTAGTGCTGTAGATATATGTGATGTCATGTATGTTGAGTTTGGCCAAAAACATATATGTTGTAAGGGCCGGTTGGGACTGTAATCCATGATACTCTCATGGGCAGCCCAACCCTTTCCCTTTTTCGTGTTGATGTACAATACCCAATTGGGAAGGGTGTAACTGATGCTTTCCATCCTTCGTAAATTGGTCCTTTGCCGCTTATCTCATGTTGACCCTGCACTCACTACAAACCGTCAAAGTTGGCCGTCGGCGTTGAGCCAACGGCCCTCCGATGGTTAAGTCAGTAAGCAATTATGCATGTGTTTCAAGAATGAAATACACACCATACCTTTGACATGTCCTTCCTTGTCTACCATCCCTTTAAGTGAGCCAAGTTCTTACTAGGTTAACAAGTGCAGAATATTTCGAAGGAAGATTAGAGGTACATCATTTAAATTATCCCTAACGTATTTTAATCCAATCATTTAGACTTATTTTTGATATGAAAATTTTCCAAAGTAAACCTACTGATCCGTCAAGGGTCAGCTTGAAAGATAAGGCAAACCTCAAAGTGACAAGCAAACTAATCATGCTGTTGTGACAGATCCGTCATACCCGAGATGTCATGTTCCTTATCAGGCTGTATGACGTATCCAAGGGTCCTACCCGGCGCTTCACTTGGCTTCCGCATTCCAGCTTCTAGGAACCTGTTTACCGTCGATTGATTCCAAGCGATATGCCCCCTGTCCAATAATGTCGACGATCTGATACGGACCTTCCCAATTGGGGTTGAATTTCCCGCTTGCTTCATTCCCGAACGCTCTTCTCAAAACCCAATCTCCTTTCTTGAACACCTTTGCCCGAACGTTCTTGTTAAAACTTTTTGCCACCATTTGCTGATAGGATTGTAGACGGATCTTAGCTTTCTCTCTAATTTCGTCGATAGTGTCAAGATCGTGTGTTAACTCGACGTTGTTCCGTTCTTCAGTCATAAGCCCGTATCTTGAAGATGGCACTTCAACCTCTGCCGGTATGACCGCCTCACAGCCATACACCAAGGAGAAAGGAGTCTGTCCGGTTGCATTCTTTGGAGTCGTCCTGTCAGCCCACAATATCAGGGGTAACTCGTCAGCCCATCTGCCTTGTGCTTTCTCGAGTCTTTTCTTCAAATTGGACACAATGATCTTGTTGCTAGACTCGGCTTGTCCATTGGATTGCGGGTACCTAGGAGTCGACGTCTCCAACCTGATGTTGTACCTTTCGCAGAAGCGTCGGGTTTTTGCACTTATGAACTGGGACCCATTATCACACACGATTTCCGACGGAATGCCAAACCTGCAAAGTATATTACGTCTAATAAAAGATATTACCTGTTCGTCACGTACCTGACGGAATGGCTCAGCTTCCACCCATTTTGAGAAATAATCCGTCATGGCCAACATGTAAACCTTCTGTCCTGGAGCTTCGGGCAGCTTTCCCACGATGTCCATTCCCCATTTCATAAAAGGCCAGGGTGAGAGGACCGGATGAAGCGACTCAGACGGCTGATGACGGATCGGTCCATGCTTCTGACAAGCCTGGCAACTTTGGGTGAAGGTGACTGCGTCGCGCCGCATGGTTGGCCAATAGTATCCGAAGCGGAGAGCTTTGTTGGACAGACTTCTCCCCGCGGCGTGGTTTCCACACTCGCCTTCATGAAGATCTTTGAGAACCCTCATGGCTTCTTGAGGTGCTAAGCACCTTTGGTATGGACCTGCTTTAGATCTTTTAAACAGTACATCATCGATTAATAAGAATTTGGTTACCTTGGAGAGGAATGCCTTAGCTTCCTTTTTGTCTGATGGCAGGATGTTATGTCTCAGGTATGCTATGTATGGCTGCGTCCAGTCATCTTGTGAGGAGGAACTGATTGTGCTGACGGACTCCAATCTGTCAATTGCCGGACTTGTCAAGTGGACGAAGGGGATGTTACTATTGACCTCTGCCCCCAGACATGACCCAATTGCGGCCAAAGCGTCTGCCTGTGTGTTCTCTTCTCTTGGTACTTGTTCAAGTGTGATCTCGTCGAACCATGCCATCAATTTCGTGACGACTTGCAGGTAGGACGTCATCTTGGGATCCTTTGCTGCATAAACACCATTAGCTTGGTTAACTATTAACAAGGAATCACATTTTACCTGGAGTAGCTTGACACCCAAATCTTTTGCCAAAGTTAGGCCTACGATCAGTGCCTCATACTCCGCTTCATTATTTGTGGCGTTAAAATCACAATGAATGGCTTGGAGCATAGTGTCCCCCTGTGGCGACTTTAGCACTACGCCCAGGCCTGCTCCGTTTAAGTTCGACGCCCCGTCTGTGTGCAATGTCCACTTCTGTTGAGGCAGACCGTCTGTGATGATGCATGCTTCTTTTTCGGCTTCAGTTTGGAGCTTAGGGCTAAAGTCCGCCACAAAATCAGCAAGCGTCTGGGACTTCAAGGCAGTTCGTGGCTCGTACCGAATGTCATAGACTCCCAGCTGGATCGACCACTTGGCCATGCGACCTGACAATTCTGGCTTCCTCATGATTGACTTCATGGGATAGTTAGTCCGCACACAAATAGTGTGTGATTCAAAATATGGACGTAATTTAACCGATGCAGTAATCAAAGCTAAAACTAGTTTTTCGAGTAAAGCGTACCTGGTTTCCGGTCCATTCAATGACTTACTTACATAGTATACCGGTGTCTGCATTCCGTCATCCTCTTTGGTTAACACGGCGCTGACAGCATGCTCTGAGACGGCCAAATACAGCTGAAGCTCGTCGCCCTCTTTTGGTTTTGTCAACAATGGCGGGGCTATCATATATTCCTTCAATCGCTGGAGTGCCTGCTCGTGTTGATCTGTCCACTCGAACTTCTTGTTCTTGCGAAGTGTGTCATAGAAAAGGCGACACCTGTCAGATGACTTGGAGATGAAGCGGTTCAGAGCAGCAACTCGACCTGTCAACCTCTGCACATCTTTGACTGACTTTGGTGATTCTATGTCAATGATAGCTCGGACCTGCTCTGGGCTTGCTTCTATTCCACGTTCACTGACGATATAGCCTAAGAATTCCCCTGAGGACACACCGAAGGCGCATTTCGCCGGATTGAGTTTCAGGTTGTATTCTGTCAATTTCTTAAATGATTCTGCCAGGTTGTCGACGTGGTTCCCAGCTTTCCTTGACTTGACGATCATATCGTCTATGTATACTTCCATGGTCTTTCCAATTTGATCTTTGAACATCATGGTGACGAGTCTTTGAAACGTTGCACCTGCATTTTTCAGACCAAACGGCATAACAACATAGCAATACGTACCTGTTTCAGTAATGAAGGCCGTCTTTTCTTGATCATCAGAATGTAGCTGAATCTGGTGGTATCCACTAAAGGCGTCCATGAATGAGAGCATCTCGTGTCCGGCAGTCGCATCGGCCAAAACGTCAATGTGTGGCATGGGAAATGAATCCTTTGGACATGCTTTATTCAAATCGGTGAAGTCCACGCACACTCGCCATTTCGCCTTTTTTCCTTTTGCTGCCTTCTTCTTGACGACAACGACGTTAGCTAGCCAATCTGGGTACCTGACTTCTCTGGCTTTCCCGGTTTGGAGAAGGGCCTCGACTTCTTGGTTTATGATGTCGTTGCGCTCCCTTGCAAAACGTCTTCTTCGTTGTCTGACTGGTTTATATGACGGATTGACATTTAACTTGTGCGTGATGATCTTCGGGTCAATTCCCGTCATGTCTTTGTGACTCCAAGCGAATACATCTTTATGTTGTCTAAGAAACTGAACCAATTCATCCCTGAAGCTTGCTGGCAAATTTGTCCCGATGCGGATGACCCGTTCTGGATGCTCGTTGTCGATGACTACTTCTTCCGTTTTTTCGTCATCTTCCTCCAAAGCTGGGTCACCCTTTAATTGCTATGCTGAAGTTGGAGGGTTTGCTGTAGGCTTCATGGCTGTCTGATAGCAAGACTTGGCCACCACCTGGTCTCCCCGAATGGACTCTATTCCCCAAGGCGTTGGGAACTTGACGACCTGGTGATATGTTGACGGAATGGCTCCCATTTGGTGCAACCATGGCGTTCCCAAAATCATGTTGTAAGCTGGGAGGTCCTCGACTACATCGAACCTGACCTGCACATTAAGACCGTTAGCGTAAACAGGGAGAGAGATATTACCTATGGTCCGGCTCGGCTCTCCGTTAAAGCCGACGAGTGTGGATCCTGATTTTGCTATGTCCTCCTCTTTGATCCCCATCTGCTCCAGCATCCGCATGGTAGTTATGTTGGCCGTGCTTCCGTTGTCAACAAGGACCCTCTTCACTTCAAAGTTTGCCACCCTAAGGGATATGACCAGAGTGTCATGGTGGGGTTGTGTAGGGTCTGGCATATCTGATTCGTCAAAAGCAATGGCCGTGCTTCTCCAGTCGTCACGTCGTCTTTCTACTTGACATACCTGCAATGACTTGTCTCGGGAATACTCCCGAGCGTGTCTCTTGGCAGCAGAATACGTTAGGCCACATAAATCCGACCCGCCATTAATAAAATTAATTACCTGGCAGGGCGCCGAAGGTGATGGAGGCCGCGTCGCTTTAGTTGACGGTTTGTCAGCTCGTCCTAAAAGAGCTTTAGTTCGTTCTGACATGATTTCCGTCAGATACCCGTTCTTCAAAAGATAAGCGACCTCCTTTCGCAATGCGACGCAGTCCTCGGTGTTGTGCCCGATGTCGTTGTGGAAGTCGCAATGTTTGCTCGGGTCTCGCTTTCCTGCTGGCTTGTCGGTTCTTTTAGGCCATCTGACTTTCTCTCCTAGCTTTTCCAAC